GGCCTGATAAGTAAAACTAATTCATTTATTTGCCTCTGATTTTATTGTTTTTAAAAGTTTTTCTTTCAGATAGAAGTACATACTAAAAGATGTAATTATTAGTTTATATTAGAAGTGAAGCAGAATTCTGTAGAATTCTAGTACATCATGCCACTATTTTTGATATAACTTTGTTGTATATCAAGTATGTGAGAATCTTGGAGTAGTGTGAGGTAGTATATGTACCACACAATTAAAATTGAAGGTGTAATGAACCTATGTTGCAAAAATTAAAAAAAATATCAGACAAGCAAGAAATTCTGTAACATTTTGTTTACTCGAAATTTAAACACTTAATGAAGAAATGTAGGTTACCAATTGAAGAGCCAGTTTTGTAACTATGGTTTAAACACAAATGATATTGAATATTTTGTGTTTGATTTATTCTTATAGGTAGTCTCACTATTAAGGAATGCCTTGAAAAATTATTATTTAAACTAGCTGGGAAACTATACAGCCTTAAAGTTTCTTTTTGTAGTAAATGTACTGTGTGTAAAACAAGTTCCATGTATAGATATGTATAAACATACAGTTGATTGTTTAATTAACTTCTGTTCTTTAGTTGTTTGAACTTATGTATGTCAAAACTGTCTTATATTTCTATTTGGTTAGTCTGGGGGAGTTTTTGTTTATATTTTACTTGATGTGAGTAAATATGTTTTTAATATTACTGCTTAAAAATTCATAACCATTAAGACTGACACCTGTTATTGTAAAATCTGTTTACAATGCGGTATTATCCTTCCTTAAATGTTTGATATAAAAAAACTATATAAAAGGCAGTTTCTAGTGATTATCCTTTATTTCAAGTATTACATTACTTATTATATCAATACATTTTTGACCTTTGGCTGCTTGATTGCATCAGAGATTGACCAGTTGGTAAAATAAGTAAAAGTATGTTTTCATCAAGTGTTCTGATTAGTACTTTGTAATCTATAACGGTATTATTATATTTAATCATCTATATATTTGTAAACTTCACAGATTTATTTCTTTCCATTGTTTTTGAAAATTAGCTTTAATTTTTTATTTCCTATTAAGACTAATTTTTGTAAAAAAAGAAACAAAGGACAGAACAATATTCATATCTGACATGCTTGGCCTAAACCTTTCTTAGTTGGTTTTGCTTTAATTCTGTCAGGTCAAGGTGTTGGTGTTCTGCATTTTTTGAAATGCAATTTTTAGTAATACTTGTAAATGATTTTGAAATAACAAAGATCTTTGGCTGTGCTTGAAATGGTGTGGCTTACATTTGGTCTTCTTACTTTTAACTCAGGTTTATGTAATAGACTTCTTTAGTAAAATGTGTGCAACCCGATTCCATTGAATATACATTTGTGTTGTGAACCATGTTATAACACAATAACCAGCATTTAACAGTAGCCTGACACCAGCATAT